GGCATGGCTGGCTGCTGAGGGCAGCTGGAGGGTGACGATGCCATTGGGGTCCCCAGGGCCACCAGGGCACGTGTCCCCAGGAGAGCGTGTACTGCGAGAACAAGTGCGGGGCGCGCATGATGCGGCGCCTGCTGTCCCAGCACGCGTTGGCCGAGTGTCCCAAGCGCACCCAGCCCTGCGCATACTGCGCCAAGGAGTTTGTCTTCGACACCATCCAGGTGAGGTGATGGGGACCGCGGGGACCTTCGCTCTCCCAGCTCCTGGCCCCAGCTGACAGCCACCCTCTGTCCCCAGAACCACCAGTACCAGTGTCCCCGGTACCCCGTGCCATGTCCCAACCAGTGCGGGACGGCCAGCATCGCGCGGGAGGACGTCCCCACGCACCTGAAGGAGAGCTGCAGCACGGCCATGCTGCTCTGTCCGTTCAAGGACGCCGGCTGCAAGCACCGCGTGAGTGTCCTTGGCCCCGTGACGGTGTCCCTGTCCCCATCCCATCCTTATGCCATCCCCACCATGTGCCCTCAGCATCACCACACAGCTCCTGCCACCTGTCCCGTCCCCTGCGGTGCCCCTGCTCTGCTCTGTCCCATCCCTGTGGCACCATGGTGTCCCCATCCTTGTCCTACCTCACCCCTGTGTCCCTGTGCCACCTGAGTGTCCCCATGCCATCTCAACCAGGTGTCCCTGTGTCACCCGAGTGTCCCCATGCCATCTCAACCAGGTGTCCCTGTGCCACCTGAGTGTCCCCATGCCATCTCAACCAGATGTCCCTCTGTCTCCAGACATCCCTGTGCCATCCTGCTCCAGACCACCCATGCTCCATTGCCACCTCCACACCATCCTCCTCCCATCCTGTCCCACCCCATGTCCCCACGCTGTCCCCATGCTGACGGTCCCGCTGTCCCCGCAGTGTCCCAAGCTGGCCATGGGTCGTCACCTGGAGGAGAGCACCAAGGCGCACCTGGGGATGGTGTGCGCCCTGGTGAGCCGGCAGCGGCAGGAGATCCTGGAGCTGCGGCGGGACGTGGAGGAGCTGTCGGTGAGCAGCGAGGGGACCCTCATCTGGAAGATCGCCGACTACGCCCGCAAGCTGCAGGAGGCCAAAGCCCGCAGCAACTGCGAGTTCTTCAGCCCCCCTTTCTACACCCACAAATACGGCTACAAGCTCCAGGTCTCAGCGTTCCTCAACGGCAACGGGAGCGGGGAGAATCTCCGTCTACATCCGCGTCCTCCCCGGCGAGTACGACAACCTCCTGGAGTGGCCCTTCTCCTACCGCGTCACCTTCTCCTTGCTGGACCAGAGCGACCCTTCGCTCTCCAAACCCCAGCACATCACCGAGACCTTCCATCCCGATCCCAACTGGAAAAATTTCCAGAAGCCGGGAGCTTCGCGCAGCTCCCTGGACGAGAGCACCCTGGGCTTCGGGTACCCCAAGTTCATCTCCCATGAGGACATCAAGAAGCGCAACTACGTGCGGGACAACGCCATCTTCATCAAAGCGTCTGTCGAGATCCCCCAGAAGATCCTGGCCTGAGCCCCCACTGTCC